GGCCAGGACGAAAACCGCATTGTTCCTCCTGAATCCGAGGTTTGACTATCGGTCGAATTCTCCTCTCCAGTACCCTGGCATAGACTTTCCCGGGGAGGCTGAGGAGTGTGATCCCCCTATAGTTGGAACACACCCTCCGGCCCCCCTTCTTAAAAAGAGGGACCACCACCCCGGTCTGCCAGTCCAGAGGCACTGTCCCCGACCGCCATGTGACGTTGCAGAGGCGTGTCAACCAAGACAGCCCAACATGACCAATATTGAACATATAATTGAATTTATACATTTATGACAATCACCAAAAACTGAAACATTTTGAGCTTCATAAACACAAATGTTAAGGCAGAAGTGTTGCACTGAAGTGCATACAGATGTACAGGTAATCATAATGTTATGCCTGATTGGTCTATGATCAAACAAACATTTCTACCAAGAGTCGATGAGTCACACTCTCTCTGTTACAACCAGTCCACTGTGGTAGCATCAGGCAGACCGCCACCATCCTGTCAATGAACAAAGAATGTCTGAGGACAGGGGACAAGGCCACAGTCCACTTCCGCTTCATCAAGACCCCTGAGTACCTGCACTGTGACCAGAAACTGGTGTTCAGGGAAGGACGCACCAAAGCTGTGGGCACCATCACCAAGGTACTAGAGCTCATGCCTCTAAATTTTGACCGTTAAGGGCAAAGTGAGAATCAAAACAAACATGAGCAGTATCCCATCCTCTCTCTTTGCCCCTTCTGCCCCGTCTCTGAAACTAGGTTAGCGACAGCTGTACCAATCAGGTAGCACAGCAGTAATAACCGGCTCCAGAACTAATGCGTACAGAATGTAGAGCCTGTGGTTTTCGGTGTGATTGCAGTGACACTGTGTCAAATCATTAGGTTTACATTTTAGCAATATGCGTACATATGTCTAACGTTGTTTGTAGCAGATGTATCAGCAGTAACACAAGCAAATTATAGAGGAATGTTTTTTTTTCCCCCAGTAATATTGATTCAGAACTAATGTTCAAGCCACTATCACATCAGGTTTAATGTTACATACTTGACACACACAACATTCTAAAGTAACTGAGTTGTGTGTAAAACGAGAAATGTCCTGTTATGATTTGCTAGTTGTATTGATGGTGTTAATTTTAACGTCTTATTAAAATGCTACATGGACTGCAGTGTTATGTCCAACATAAACCAAGCAATAATCACCTAATTTACCTTATTTGCTAATCCAAGAAAAAACGCGCTGCTTTCTGCTAATTGGACAACAAAACAGTAACGCTGCAGTCAGTTGGAATGACTTCAAATTACCACCAGAATACTTAAATACAAAGGTACAAAACTATCTCCTACTGCTAGTGTATGTGTGATCCTGATATATTATTCATTGATATAAAGTTAATTTCAAAAACAATATAAGATTAACTAACATTGTATGTGCTTGTAATTTCAGCTTCTCCAATCAGTGAACACCCAGGCAGCTAAGGCCCAGCAGTCCAAGACACAGGCCTGTAAGAAGACTTTTAAAGATGGCACATTAGCCAGTGAGGAGGTTGGATCCTCAGCACGAGCGCCTAGTCCGAACAAGCTACAACAGCAGCTACCGGTGAGTCAAGTTTTATAGCTTTATAACGTCATATATTTAAAGGAAAACAAGCGAGGCATGTAAAATCTGAACAACTTGAAAAACCTAGAAATAAAATCAACTGGACTAGGTTTCTAGGTCGAAGACGTTTCACCTCTCATCAGGTCTGATGCCACCCTTTAGTACCGTACTCGCTCATGTGCCAGTACCACTTATGGTATGGCTTAATGGTAATTAGATTAACTTCACACTGACTGGGCCACTCATTAGGCAGTATAGAAAATATTTTAGTGCTTCATGTTGATTTTAAGACGAGTGTTGACGACACAAGTAAAGCAGACTGTGAGCTCTGATTCTCTGCTCTGTCTCTCTGTGATAGGGAGGGAGGGAGGGGCACCCACAGACGGTGTCTGTGAGCGCACACAAAAGTGGACAAGATGATAAGGTACAGTAGTTAGTATTTTACTGCGATAAATCAAATCAAATAGCGCCAAATCACAACAAAAGTAATCTCAGGACACTTTACAAAGTAAGGTCTAGACCTTACTGTTATCAATATTATGACATAGGGAAAACCCAACAAATCCCCCTTGACCAAGCACTTGGCGACAGTGGGGAGGAAAAAACTCCCTTTAACGGAAGAAACCTCCGACAGACCCCAGCTCTTGGTGGGCGGCCTTCTGCCTCGACTGGTTGGGGTGAGTGAATAGAGGAGAGACAAAAGAAGAAAAGCAACAAGACACAACAATCAAACACTGATCAGGTCAATGTGGCTGGTGAAGCAGCCTAGGCCTATAGCAGCATAACTAAGGGAGGGCTCAGGGTCACCTGATCCAGCCCTAACTATAAGCTTTATCAAAAAGGAACGTCTTAAGTCTAATCTTAAAGGTAGAGAGGGTGTCCGCCTCCCGAACTGAGACTGGGAGTTGGTTCCATAGGAGAGGAGCTTGATAGCTAAAGGCTCTGCCTCCCATTCTGCTTCTGTGGACTCTAGGAACCACAAGTAAACCTGCACTCTGAGAGCGAAGTGCTCTGTTAGGATGATAAGGCTCTACGAGGTCTTTAAGATACGATGGAGCCTTGTCATTAAGGGCTTTGTATGTTAGGAGAAGGATTTTAAATTCTATTCTGAATTTTACAGGGAGCCAGTGGAGAGAAGCTAATATGGGAGAGATATGATCTCTCTTGCTAGTTCCTGTCAGTACTCTGGCTGCAGCATTTTGGATTAACTGGAGGCTTTTTAGGGAATTATTGGGACATCCTGATAGTAAAGAGTTACAGTAGTCCAGCCTGGAAGTAACAAATGCATGGCCCAGTTTTTCAGCATCACTTTGAGACAGGATGCTCCTGATTTTCGCAATATTCGCAGGTGAAAGAAGGCAGTTCTAGTGACTTGGTTTATGTGTGATTTAAAGGACATATTCTGATCAAAGATGACTCACAGGTTCCTCACAGTAGTACTGGAGGCAATAGCTATGTCATCTAAAGTAACTATATGGTTAGACAGCAGATTTCTAAGGTTTTCAGGCCCAAGCACAATAACTTCAGTTTTGTCAGAGTTTAGAAGTAAGAAGTTGCAGGTCATCCAGGCCTTTATGTCTTTAAGACATGCTTGAAGTTTGACCAGCTGATCTGATTCATTTGGCTTCATAGATAAATATAACTGAGTATCATCTGCATAGCAATGGAAATTTATGTTGTGCTTCCTGATAATATTGCCTAAAGGGAGCATGTATAAAGTGAAGAGAATTGGACCTAACACAGAGCCCTGTGGAACGCCGTGACTAACTTCAGTTTGTGTGGAACATTCGTCATTAACATGAAGAAATTGAAATCTTTCTGATAAATAAGATTTGAACCAACTTAGCGCAGTTCCTTTAATCCCACTAACATGTTCAAGTCTCTGCAGTAAGATGCTGTGATCAATGGTGTCAAAAGCAGCACTGAGATCCAAGAGGACAAGTATAGAGACAAGTCCTTTGTCCAAGGCTAGGAGAAGATCATTGGTGACTTTCACTTTCAAGCGATAACGCTCTATGTGCAACAAATTCCAGCAGCAATGGAGCTGGTAACTGATCAGACGCCTGTTAAATAAGCTAAACACAACAACAAACTTGCAGAAATGTGACAGCTTCACTCTCCCTGCAGTCAAAATGCCTGGTCCCGTACACTGCTTGTTATGCTGCTTATCGCAAATTGATAACAAAAAACAAATGCTCATTTTATGTAGTACTCGTATCAGTACTCTGTGTCAGTGAGTACTCAAACTCACTGTACCTGGTCTGAAATTGAAAAAGTATGTAGTATAAACAGTGCTAGCTAAACTTAATGGTAGAGTTGACCTTGCACATCAATGGCTTTAAGGGTCATCACACTAAAAGGATTAAATTTCTCTCCAGGTCTAGTATCTTTTGATCAAATGATACAATCGCTAAACTTCAAATAATCTTAGATTATGTAAATATGTCTAAAAGCAAAGTGTTTACTCTAGAATTTAAGATCTTTTATAGCTTTTCATAGTCAGAATTATTACACAATAAAGGACTATTACCATTAATTCAGACTTGATTCCTAAAAGTAATTTAGGATTGAGCTGCTCTGAGTTGTCCTGTAAAAGATTGAAGATAAGTGTCCTTATGACAAGAAAACTTTTCAGTCAAACTATAGTCAACACATTTTTTTTGTTTAAACTGCTGTTTAAGATGCTTGTTTGCTTTTTTCCTACTTTTGACTTTAAATGTCGGTTCATTGTCCCCTCTCACCTGCTTCACCGTGTCCCTCCTTTAAGCGACTTCTCTTCCTCCCATGTTTATGCTTTTTATTCCAAAAGTCTGTCCATAATATTCTGATTTCGTCTCCCCACATGGTTATACCTGCATCCCTCATCATTCTTTTTCATCTACTCACCAGCTGATCCTCACTCCGCTCCCTGCTCTTCCTTCGTCTTCTTTTCTTCAGCTTTAATAGTTCACTTTTCCGTTATCTCTTTTGCCTCCCCTCCCTCCTCTCCTCCCTGTCTTGGCATGCTGCGTCAGACAGCGGCAGATGAGGAGGCTCTAAGTAAAGATGACAACAAAGAAAATGAGGTAAAGACGTTTCTGCAGACTGTGAGAGTCATGATGAGGCTCTGTCTTCTTAAGCTTGGATGCCATTTTGTTAGTTTCCTACGCTTTCTAAATTTTACAAACTAATTTTTTTGAGCATGCCTACTCCTTTTCAGTACAATCTTTCTTTATATTCACCGTTTCAGACAGCCTGTTTTACTGCTAGCTACCCAGTTGGACTTTAGGTACTTTACTCTTCGAAGTGAAAACCTGATTGATAGTGCTTGTTCCTTATGCCAAAGCAAGGTCTCCTAACAGAGTTCTCCCAGACTATGAAATGTAATGATTAAAGATTTTAATGCGCTTTTAGAAGTACTGCATTAAGTTAACTATTTTGTTTTCCTCCCCATTTTCTGAATGAAAACGAACTTGTGCAACTTGAGGGTTTTCCTGTGTATTACAGTGGATGTGGGCCACCCCACCTGAACTGAAAACCATACAGTACCATATACTGTTACAGTTATTACCAATAAGACAACTGTCAGAGGTGCAACCTTGTGAGGGTCCAAAAAGATTACACATGAGCCATGCATGGTACCCTGGCTCCTTAGAGACATAGTAAGATCCTAGCTTAGTTTAAGTTATTGAGAGAACAAGTTATTAAAATGACAGCAGGGCTGTACACTGACATTTATTTTTGGGGCACTGGTGTCACTAAATTAAATACACAGAAGCACAATTATTTATCCAACCTAAACTGAATTTGAGAGGTAGCCTAATGAATGCTAATTCTCAGAGAAGGGTTTGCAGCCACGATGCTCAGTATACAAGGGAAAAAATATACTGTGTCTCTCACCAGTTTACAGCAGGCACACAAACGCGACACCACATTTCATTTTGAGGCGTCATGAAATTAACATTACTTAGTGACTGACTGACGTGTCACCAGTGTGATCATAAAAATAAATGTTGCCAAATGGTGACAAGTTTGCATCCCTCACTGCCAGGAAAACCCCTGAAGCGATGTGGCTTACTACCTTTTTCTTTTTAGTTCTTCCCCTCAGAGAAACCTAACCCTTTTCTTACCCTGTCCAGCCGTTTAGTTGAAGGCACAACTAAGAATTCCATTCCCTGTTTCCCACTTTCCCCTGCTGTCTCCAGTTGCTTAGTTTCTAACATGACTGTGTTCCTGTCTGTGTGCAGCTCAAGGCAGGAAGCGGAGGACGCAGGAGAGGTGGTCAAAGGCATCGAGGGAAAGGCCTGAATCCTGCACCAATCTCTACAGCAGTGCCTGCGGGAGCAGCAGGCACGGGCTAAAAACACCACCTTTCATTTCCCCTCAGCCCATGACATCGCTTTATAGGGAGGAAGAGTGACGGCCTGGCCCTCTGGTGGCTGGTTACAGACTGACTGCACGTTTCTTTAGTATAAAACAATTACTGAGCAAAAGAGTGATTAAAGAGTGACATTGTCATTTTAAAGCTTTACTGGAATAGTTACTTACAGATCTAGTTTTGATTATGTAGCCGGAGATTTACTGCAGTTGACTGCAAGTTCTAGTTCTACTATCTAACATTTTCTTTTTTAAATGCAAACATTTTGGGGAGTTCATCTTGTTTACAGTTCTTCAAAACTTGGTTTATAGCATTAACAGGTTTTCCCAGCCTGCAGAGGCATCAGTCACTTTCCCTGCATTAACATTTTGCACCTATCAGGCTTCTGTTTCCTCCTTCTGCATCCTAGTGTTCAATATATTGGGCGTAATGCTCGTATTACAGATGACACCAAGGTTGGAGTGTATATTTACTGTGGCATCTGTCATTTGAGGAAGTAAACTATGTTCACTAGATGACAGAATATTTCTTTAAAAAGGCTCCTGGTTTGGAATTTACGGAACTGAAGGTGAATTGAGGGGCACAAGTATCTGACATCGGCTAAATGAGGAATGTAGATGAGATGATAGCTTACCCTGTCCTGTTCTGGGTGGTAGCTAAAACTGTTCTCTGAAAACAGAAGTGGCATTTGGTAAATTTTGTGACCAGTTAACAGAAAAGTTCTTGTCTATCCCTGGGAGTGTAGCCACAGATGCGCTGCTTAGCAGTCATCACCTGTGATGAAACATGTCCCTGGAGATGAAGAGCAAAGCAGCCTAAGCTTAATCCTGCACAAGAAAGGTCATTTACTTTGAAGCTCTTTTCTGAGAGCCCTAAGAGTTTTACTAGATCTACTTCTGAGAGAGAAAAGGTCTGAATTGTCCTTCCTTTTTTCACACTCAGTGTCTAGTGTCAAAGTGGATTTGTCATATCCAGACAAGCTTTAGCTAACATGTTTAAACTAAAAGCTGTGATCAAGTGCTCTAGACATGGATAAACTCACAAAAATTGGTGAGCAAGCATGCTTATAGAACTTGAACTTTATTCCAAACTTAAGATGATGCTTCTTCAGAGCTTAACATACAACAACTGCCCACTTGTATGTTGTAATCTCAGTCCCGTGGAAGGCACATGGCAGCTGAAATATCAGCTTAAGTTTGGAATAAAGTCTGTGTTCCTGTTTTTTGCAAGCATGTTTGCTTGCCAATTTTGTGGTTTTGTCATATGTTAGCATGGTACACGTCCCTGTGAAGTCACTTAGACATTTTCTAAGCCAAACAGGTATAAGCACAACTTCCTCCAAATCTAATGCAGCCTGACCTGCTGCACAAAAATTATACATCCATTATTTTGTTAAACTATTTTGATACGAAAACTCGTGTTTCACACGTTAAATGTCGAAAGCCAAGTAAGAACATATTAATTCATTAAAATTGTTCTACCGTGACTTGAGTGTCTGCACATTCTCCGCACTTCACGTGAATGAGCAAATGGCTCCAAAACTGAATTTTCAAAACTGCCTTCAAATACAAATGTGTCAGACACAGCAAGTCGATGTCTACGAGTTAAGAATGCAGATCATGTCATACACATGATCACATTCAACTTAAATAAATAAAAACAAAACAAAAAACTAAACTGAGTTGCTGCTTTGTTACAACCTGTTCTTTCACCCGTCTTATGAAGATTGATGGTCCTCTTCCCAGTGTTGAGTTTTAGTTGGGAGGTTACACATCGTCATAGTTTGGGCCACTGAAGGGGAAATGCCCCTCAGGCTTGGGCCTTCACATGCACACGGCTTAGTCTGTCATGAAAATTTTAAGAATCTTTAATTGTATGACGATCAGTAACACTGAACGGCCAGAGTATTTCTCCCTTCTACATATCTCTTTTGACTACACCAGTAGTGCATGGGTTTATTTTTGAAGGGCTCCACTTTGTATGTATGTACAGAAATGCCAGTTTTAAATAAAGATGTTATTGAAAACTGATGTGGGAAAAAAGCTTTTTATATTTAAGGATTTCAGTTGATGCTGTTAGCATCGCAACAAGATAAAAGGAGGCTATCTGTGAAAGTTTGCAGAATATATAACTTTATATTTTTTCAATTCCATCATCATTCTCCAATTAATTGCAACAGACAAGTGTTCTTTTCCACCTGACAGTGACTAATGGAAAGTTCTGTAATGTGCAGTGAGAATCGTGGAGATTTATGAGACTGCACAATAACAGTGTTAAATCTAAGGGAATTCAGTTAACTCCTTTCTGCCCAGTTGGTTTGTTTACAATGAAAGTTCTGAATGTGTGCCTGTTCAGCGGGTAGCATAGCTCGGTGGTTAGGCTGACAGGCTAAGATAGGGACAGGCTGTGGTTTAGTGGGGTGCCTCTTGAAACACGGAGACACTTTGGGAAAATGTTGAAAAAAGCTTAATATTTTAAAATGTATAAAAGTAAAAAAAAACAACAACGGTTGAATAGATGACAATGTCCTTAAAAAGCTGAACATTTTGATATTTGAATGGTTTTTCTAGCTGAAAGTATGTGGGCAGAGTGGAGCGGCAAAAAACATACGGAAAAATAATAAATAAAGAACAGGATAACAACCGTGTGGATGCTGACTCAGTATCCACACAATAAAAATGCATGAAGTATTTCAGTGTGGTGTTCTTTTATAAATTCCCGCCTGAGAGTTTCTGACCAGCTGCAGACTCATCTCACCTCGAAGAAGCACAGGCAGCCGTCTTTTCCCAGCTTGCGCAGCAGCTTGGCTCGTCTTGTATGGATTCCATTCTTGCAGCCCTGCAGAGGCGGTACACCTGGCAGGTGGACAGATGCAGCTGTCTGCAGAAGGCGAGTCCCATCACACCCATGTCATCTCTGCCGCAGTGAAAGGCGCACGACAGTGATGAACGCTGGGGGCCAGAGGAGAGACACTGATGGTTAATGCACTTAAAAAAAAAAAAAAGTACATCTGTCCAGTCCAAAAGTGTTTTTGGTCATTTGTGTGGTTTCAGTTTTGTAAAGTTGTAGGTCTGTGTTATGTCACTAATTTTTTATTTAAACCTTTCTATACTACGATAACTGGATCTGTTTTATTCGTCAATTCCTTGTATGTACTACTATATAAACATGACCAAAAAATGAATAAACTGAAGTGTAAAACCAAAATAATAAACAACAGTGGTAAACCGTCCTCACAGAGGGCGGCTGAGTCCACAATTAGATGTCAAATGGAAGCAACAGTATTGTTCCAAAATAAGACACTGGAATATCTCTGCACTGCTTACAGGCTGTTTGAAGAGTCTGGTGTTTTGGGAGATGATTCTACTAAAATAATATTTTAAAATACACTGTAGCTTTAAACCATATTTACTCTAAGGCCAAAAGGGGGGAAAAGGATAGATGCTCTGAAAGAAGCTCTCCAGCACCAAAGACTGTTAAATTCTTTGAGAAACTAACACAATATGTAGTTACAAACCATGCAACAGGATTAACTAAGCAACCTGGCTAATGTTTAAGAGAAATGCAGATTTACTCCCTATAACTGACCATTCTACAAGTCTAAAGCCATCTGTTCCTCACACTGGAAGCATACTGGTTCACAGTTGGGCAAGTAATCACCAACGGGGAGTTGTGGAGACACATTTGAAATTGCTTTTCACACAAACAACATTTCATGGCTTTGGGCTACTTCACATGACAGCCTGCTACTGATGCAAGGAGCTTTCAATCAAATTTGTTCCAGAGGAGTCAGCCTTCTAGCCATAATGCCGGTTTTCCAAACAGCAGGCCTCAGTATGGTCCTGTGGAACAGCTGAAGTCTCGTGTCCCCTTGTGGACCCGTCAGCTCATTTTCACAGGTGGTGTTCACCCACATGGCATATAATACAAGTGGAAATGGGACTAGCCTTTGATGCAGAGCCTGGGATCAATGAATGACTTGATGAATCTAGCTGGGGGCATTTCAGGGTTCCACACTAACAATTTATGAAAGCATTAGACACAACCCCTGCACTGTGCCTCTCTCCTCTTCATTCTCTTTGTTTTCATGCCGGCTGCTTTCTGAATCTCCCCTGATAGAATCTCACGCCAGCTACAGTTATTCACCATGTCTCCCTCTGGTTTTAGTGGCTTACACACCATTCAGTCGCCAAGTCTGCGAGACTTAATGGTCGCTGTCAAAATATGCAGCGTCGCTGTGCCATTTCAAGCGTAGGAAGGGACTGAGTTGTTTCTTTACTGGCAATTTTGCCAAACTCAGACTGAGGAGTCAACAACTTGAGTTCCCAAAAGCTAATCTATTGTACTGTTGCATCTCATTTTATCAGTTCAGACTCCTATTTGGACAGTAAGTGCAAAGGAAAACTTACACTAACTCACCTTTAACAAATATTACAAGCAACCCAGGTGATGAGTCAATATAATGACAACATGATCACAAAATGTCTTTCAAAGAGAATATAATTCATAAATCTAAAAAATAAAGGATTGATTTTACTGCCCTGTTTGGTTTTGTCAGTATATATAGTTCCCCAGTTATTTCACAGCTTTGCTAGGACCTTAAAACGTTAACACACATTAAATGTGACTGACACAATAATACATCAATCATTATAATCCAATGATATGATATTCATTGATGTGAACTGTGCCATTCTGCATACTTTTAAGTACATTTTAATACATTTGAACCTTTAGATAACATTATTAATGCGAGACTACTTACTTGTAAGAGTATTTTTACACTAAGTTACTGCTACTTTTACTTACGTTAGCCCTAATTATAGCCCAAGATGCTAGCAGGATGACATCCAGAACAACAACCGGTTAACATGTTTTTCAAAAACCATCTTGACATTTTAGGAGATACAGATGTCTTCCTACTAACAGTCTGATATCACTGTCGAGGTGTGCTCCGGTTTGACCGCAGGAAATGCCACCATGTTAACTACGTAGTGCACTACTTACCCTCTGCCATTATATTCAAGTGTCTGAAATATATAGTACTCACAATAGAACAAAAATAAAAGCCGTATCCACAACATGCGTGCAATACTTTCTGCTACCAATCCCACAGTATGCCGAACCAATAGTTGTGAAAGTTGTGTTATTCTATAGCTGGTAGTAATGACACAAAAATGATGATTATTAAGTGATTAAGATTAAAATCTGAATGAATGTACTGCTCAGTATGAACAAGGTGATTTTGGACACACCACCTATAGATATATATGCATAGATGACACATCAGGGCTTATCAGATATGTCTCCAATATTCTGGTGAAGAAAATATTTTATCAAAAATACATTTGCCAACCAGCTGTGTTACTGTATGTGTCATCGTGTTACGTAGTCCTAGTCTACTAAATGCAGGAGAAAACATCTGCCTACTATATCAGTTTTAATTTATACAAAAACAGATGCAAAAATGACAAACTATTAATTTTTACTTTAGGCATGTATGTGCTGTATAGTTTGACGAGATATTTCTTCACTGGACAGTGACTTTCTGAAGCCTGTGCTAGTTGTCAGGCACCCTCAGTCATGACCAAACATCTATTATGATGGATAATGTCTTTAGTTGTATCTGTTTTAGTTTTTCAATTTAACAAGGAGAGAGTGGAGATAACTTGTCTATGAGTGACTGCGCTATTTCTAATTTTCCTTCTAGTTGGCACCTTTGTAAACCACCGTGGTCTCAGACAGGACAGTGATCGCTCAGCCAGCTCTGGATTAAATGAGGCAGTGCTAACAGACACTTCAAAATTTGTTTAGCATTTACAAGCGTCTGTGAATTTCAGAATCACAAATTATACATTATAAGTCATATGTTCATTGATTATTACTGTTACTTTAGCTGTACAAGTGCAGGAGGACCTGTCGTTGGAACAGCGTTGTCCAGTGGTACTTGTAACCTTCTCTCAGCTTACCCTTCACCTGACTGCTTCTTGACAACAGTCCTGCAACACCTAGAACCTTGTGTGCCTTAGAGAGCTTCCATGCTAAGTTTGGTCTATACCCAAATGCACAGAAACACCATGTGTTTGTATGTGTGTCCATTCTCACCCACTGTACAAGTGCAGGAGGACCTGTCGTTGGAACAGCGTTGCCCAGTGGTACTTGTAACCCTTCACCTGACTGCTTCTTGTCAACAGTCCTGCAACACCTAGAACCTTGTGTGCCTTAGAGAGCTTCCATGCTAAGTTTGGTCTACACCCAAATGCACAGAAACACCATGTGTTTGTATGTGTGTCCATTCTCACCCACACACACCATATGATAGCTCCACAGTATGGATTAGTGCCCAATATTTGGGCCAAGGCATTGTTTGTTTATCTCTGACTTCAATATGGTGGCCTCTGGAGAGAAGTTCACACCATTAGTCATGAAAATGCCACTTAGTCAGCAGACAGCATAGACTGCTGAGAGACGATGGAAGAGAAGTCGCATTCACTAACCACCTACAATACTAATAATCACCTTTCTAGCCACAGCAACAGCTCACAGACGTTCATACTCGCTATTTTATGTTCAGGACCCAAGTATCTCATTGAAGTTCAAGCCCCGACAAATCCACAGTTGCACACACAGATGCAGGTGCATATCGTAGAAGCACCTCTGAGCTGTCCTCACCACCAACTGTGCAAATAGGAAAACTACATTTTGACACAAAAATCTTAGTGCAAACTATTTCAACCACTAATTGGGGGTGGGGGGTTATAATTAGTGAAAGACTTAAGGTTGATCCAACACAACGTGGAGACCACCACCCTAAGTGGTTCAGGCTAGGACCAGTAGGACCAGTAGAATCAGAATCAGCTTTATTGGCCAGGTCTGTTGGACACACAAGGAATTTGACTGTGGTACTCTACTATCTACTCTAGGACCAGTAGGCCAAAAAACACAGTGTGAGGTTCTCACCGAGCTAGAGTCTGAGAATACAGAAGGAATTAGAA